TGTAGGGGTGGGGTGGCCTGAGGGGGACAGGGCAAGGAGAGGCAAAATGGTATATTAGAAATAGATCAACAGTTATTTTATCTGCTGTTGACTTTGAGCAAGCTAATAAACCTCTCTGAGCCTATCTCCTTTTTTAAACTGGCAAGGGGCTAGTTATTGAAAATATTTTATCTCGTTATGAAGATTAATACGATAATGTGTAAAGGGTATCAAGTGTTCTTTCTTTTCCTTTTCTCACTTTTTATAGAGACTTTTTATTTACAGAATTCAAAGCTAAACTCAGGAAAACTATCACAAACTCCAAATTGCTGGCATTCTATCTTTCTTGTCTACTTAAATTCTTTCAATTCTAAGTCAAGGCATGGATCTCTTTGGGAATCTGACAAAATCTCCTAGAACGCTCTAGAAAACTGTCATGTGAATGCACACACACACATTTCTGCATGTAGTTTTAGAGGGGCTGAGGGCATTCATTCCATGGACTTGAGGTTAAGAACCACTGCTCCAGGACCCATTTTATTGCTGCTTCTGTACCCAACACTCCATTTCTAGCCCATAACAGATTAGTAAACGTTGGCAGACTGGCCTTGGGAGAAAACATAGGTCTGGGCTTCAAGTCTAGCTCCTCAGAATTGGCATCAGGCCAAAGTAAGAAATGCAACAGCAGGAGCTGACTTGCTGCCAGAAAGCAACAGCCTAGAGAGGCAATTCTTATATTGGAGACTGGGGGAAAGCAAGAGGCCAGGGTCCCACCCTGGGAGAAAAGACAGCTCTTGTGTGTCTAAAGGATTAACCCATGTGCTTCCTCCTTGTTGTTTTAGATTGTCCAGCTGCCCTTGACTGGAAGCATGAGCATTATCTTCTTCCTGCCCCAGAAAGTAACCCAGAACTTGACCATGATCGAAGAGAGCCTCACCTCTGAGTTCATACATGATATAGATCAAGAACTAAAGACTGTCCAAGCAGTTCTGACCATCCCTAAGCTGAAGCTGAGTTATGAAGGCGAAGTCACTAAATCCCTGCAGGAGATGAGTATGTCTGCAAGACCTGTTTGCTGGTGGATAAGCCTTTGAGTCTCCCCTTGCTAAGCAGAGTCCAATCGTTCCATGATGGTATTGAGAGGACATGGAACATGGATAGTTCCTTAATTCTAACAGTGTTGGAGAGGAAATATTGAATTGCCTTCGTTTTAGCATTCATTTCCCAATCCCATGAGCATGTATCCTATTATTGTTAAGTGCCACTGAGTTGGTTCCAACACAACGAGCCTGTATAGGGTTTCCGAGGAGTGGCTGGTAGATTTGAACCTCCAACCTTGTGGTCTGCAGTCCAGTGCTTATCCTTACACCAAACTTTTATGTTGTTGTTAAGTGATGTCAAGTTGGTTCCAATGTCCAAAGTGACCCTGTCTGTATAGTTTTACCGAGGAGCAATTGGTGGGTTTGTACTGTCAACCTTTCAGTTAGCAGTCTAGTGCTTATCCTACAACATCACATAGCAGGAGCTGAAAACACTGCTTCTCTAGATAGGTGTTTAACTGATTTCTAATCCTTACCTCATGCTATGTGTTTAACCCTCTACAAGCGCAGAGCTGCATATATCCCACATAAGGTAGAATGTCTTGTTCTAGTCCCAGCTTGTTATACAACTCAAAAATCAGGATTTAAGGATCAGGTTTATAGTCTTCCTGTGGGCTGGATATAAAGCAAGATTTTAATGGAAACCTCTCTTCATCTCTGCAGAGCTCCAATCCTTGTTCGAGTCACCGGACTTTAGCAAGATCACAGGCAAGTCCATCAAACTTACTCAAGTGGAACACCGGGCTAGCTTTGAGTGGAATGAGGACGGGGCAGGAACTGCCCCCAGCCCTGCGCTCCAGCCTGCCCGCCTCACCTTTCCCCTGGACTACCACCTTAACCAACCTTTTATCTTTGTACTGAGGGACACAGACACAGGGGCCCTTCTCTTTATAGGCAAAATTCTGGACCCCAGGGGCACTTAATGCTCCAGTTTAATGTTCAAATACCCTAGGAGAGAGTAAGCCCAGAGGGATGGCAGGTTACACATTACATGAAGGCTGCCCCTATGTTTCAGTGTATTCTTTGCAATAAAAAAGCTTTATCCTTAACTTTTGTTACCTTGCTAAGTGTATGTTGAGTTCAGTATGAAGGATGTTAAGTGCCACTGAGTCAGCTTTAATATAAAGCCCTGTTGCCATTTAAGAACTTGCTGGTCTTAGAGCCTGGTTCTGTGTAAACTCTGTAGAAAGTCATGTTTACAAGAACTCTTCGTTGTCTGCACTGGGTAATGCTCAGCTCCAGGGGTGTTCATGTACTAGGCCCACTACCCCTTCTGCTACACTCACGGGAGTACTCTCTTAAATAAACTAGACTTTAGGCTTTAACCCAAGCACAGGTTCTCTTCCAGCCAAGCTAACCTTACATTTGACGACAGAAGATAGCACCTGGACAGGTAAGACAGGTGATTTGTAACTTTGTTGTTGTTGTTAAGTATTATTTGAATTGGTTCTGACTCTCAGAGACCCTGTGTAGGGCAAGGAGCAGCTGATGGGTTTGAAATGCTGACCTTCAGGTTACCAGTCCAGTGCTTATCCATCCTATAGCGCCACACCAGGACTCCTAATCTGTAGCTTAAAGAAATAATTATTTTATAAAGCATTTTTAAAAAGTTCTTAAACAGTAATAAAAAGCAGGATCTGATATGTAAACAAGGAGGCTTGGTGGCACTATGGTTTAGGTGTTGGGCTGCAAACTGCAAGGTCGACAGTTCAAACCCACCAGCCGTTCTAAGAGAGAAAGATTAGACTGACTGCTCCCATAAAGATTTACAGTCTTAGAAGCTGTATATAGAGCCACAGAATCTATGTAACACAGCAGCACATTTGGCTTTTTGATATGTAAACATTCTAAGGATGTTCTTTTTAAGGAAGTATGCCTATTTTACAAAATATCAAGTTTTGAGGTTTTTTTTTTTTTTTGGTAACATGAGATGCCATGTGTTTGGAACAGAATTATTATAGAATTGGCCAGAGAACTAAAAAAATTATTTTTCTTGAAAAAGGAAGTGCTGCAATAAAAACCTCACTGGCCTCACAATGAGTTAGTAGATTACAATGAGTTAGTAGGCCGAAAACCCCATTGTGAGTCAGTTGAAAGGATGAATGCCCTTCATTCAACTACAGTTTGAGAGCTGCATTCCAAACACTCAGCTTCCTCAAAAGCTACTGCCAACCACTACCAGGGCTATTTATTTCCTGCTTATAAAGCCTTGGCAACCAACTGGCACTTCTTGGGCATGGCCAGGGTTGGCATGTTCTCAAAGCACGATTGTTAAGTGCTGTTAAGTTGGTTCCGACTCATTGTGACCCTGTATAGGGTTTCCGAAGAGTAGTTGATGGATTTGAACTGTGGACCTCGTGGTTAGCAGTTCAGTGCTTATCATACAGTGTTGCACCAGGACTCCCAAACTGGGTAAGCCTGGCATTCTTTCCCACTGGCTCATCTGAACCATTTGGTCACTAGTGGAGACGTAGTAAAAAGGGTTCAGCCCCAGAGAGTCCCCCAGTCTCTGACTGGGACAGAGTCTGATGTTGTGAGTTGTCATTGAGTTGGTTGCTGATGCACGGCAACCCAATGAACAATGAGACGGGACCGCTGTGATCCATAGGGCTCTCACTGATTTTCTGAAGCAGATTGCCAGATCTTGTGTCCTAGTCTTAGTCTGGAAGCTCTACTGAACCTTGTTCAACATCAGGGCAACCCACAAGCCTCCACTGACAGGCGATGACTGAGGCTTCAGGTGCAATGGCCAGGGTTGAACTTGGGACTTCCGCATGGAAGGCAAGAATTCTACCACTGAACCACACGGCCCTCATGTTGGGATGGGTCTGGATCATAACTACTCATCCAAGTGGAAGAGAGCTGTCTTCCCTATCACCTATCTCATAAACGCCCATAATATCTTCTGAAGTTGTTTTCTCCATTCCCGTTGTCTCAGTAATAATGAAATCTTATTTCATTTACCAGCTTGGGAGGTCTGGTAGGGAAAAAATGTCTCTTCAGGCTTGGTAAATACTAGAAGAACTCAGAAGGAAGTACCGAGTCGTAACGTTATGAGTGTCTGATCAGTGAGTTTGCCAAGAGTATAGAAAGGAAGCCAGATAACAAGGGCTGGAAAACTGGTACAAAACAAATTTTGAGTTGCTGTCCCAGGAAGGAACTGCTCAGCAATTAAATGATCTCATACTGATTCTTCTATTCGTAATTTATAAAACTCTACTAGTTTTAACAAGGAGTCCTGGTGTGGCACTGAGGGTTAATGTGCTGGACCACAAGTTCAGTTTGAACCCCAGGATCAGTGGTTCACGCTCACCAACCACTCCTCAGAAACCCTATACAGAGTCACTATAAGTTGGAACTGACTCGATGACACTTAACAACAACAGTTTTAACAAAGGATTCAAAGAAGCAAAATTCCATAAGTGAAACTGTGTGTTTCTCTAGAGGTAAGGAGCCTCACTGATTTCTTGCTTTGTAATTATTTTTCAATTACAATACAACTATAAGAGTTTAAGTTCCCCCTAGAGTGGTACACAGCATTTCATTACTACTAGAAAACCACGGGAATGTTCCAGGAAAAAGGACTACCATCCTTTAGTGAGGTGAAATTTAGTCAAAACCCATGGCTAACACCCAAAATGCCTGCGGATCAGCTGCGATTCTTTAAAGGTCTTGGGTCCTTCAGATGCTGGTTTTAACTACTTCCTGGAAACAGGGAGTTCTTAGTGGAGGGTAGTTCACTATTTCAAGAAATAGTCATCAAAACAGGTAACAGTCTCAACGACGGAAGTGCTTGCTGAGTCCTCTCCCCTCACACACTAGGCTTTTGGACAAGTCTTGTATTTCCTGCAGCACAGAGGCTCTTCAATAGACCTTCCAGGGGCTCCTTTCCTGGACATCAGAGTCCTCTGGGAGCTCTCCTCAGGGACCCATGGGGATAGGAGGCAAGTCCAATAAATAGGATTTCATCTTTTGTAGCTCCTGAATCTCATCACTCCAGGGGCCACAGTGAACCGACAGAACCTGTTCTGCCTTTTGTATTGTGTTCAGAGCTTCAGATACTGCAAACCTGAACCAAAGGAGGCAAGGAGAGCTACTCATTTAATCACGCAAACATTCAGTGCCTATTCGCACACTGTAAAGAATACAAAGTTATATAAGACTGTGTCTGTCCTCAAGGATTTTACAATCTTGAGGGGTAGAAAAGGCACATTCACAAATACACTGCAGGCTGAGCTTGAGAAAAAAGTGATGAAAAAAAAACTATTAAAAAAATCTAGGTTCTAGAGAAGCAGAATATTTTACCCCATGGCTTCCTCTGAAGTCTCAGGGTAACCAAGTCTACCACTGACTGATGAGCTCGGTAGCCCTTTGCTCTCCCCTGTCTCTGGCCAAGTGAGCTGCCTCTGTTTCAGGTACTGGGTTCCCCCATAATTTAGCTTCAAGCTTCAAACACCTTGCCCTACATCCAGGGCAGCTTTATTACAGCAGAAGTATCCCTCCAGAAAAACTGCCATTAAGACCTCACAGTAATCTCAGCAGCAACAGTGGATAAGGCAGCTGCTTACCAACCCCACTGTTCTTTTAACCTTTAACCCTTAAAGCAGGGGTCAACCTTGCTGTGACTGACACTTCAGGTCAGCTAATTCCTTGTTGGGAGAGTTGCCTTGTGCATTGTATATGTTTAGCAGCTTCCTGTTCTCTACCCATTGGATGACAGGAGCAATCTGCTCTCACAGTCATATCAATGAAAATGTCTCCACACATTACAGGCAAAATCACCCCTGGTGGAAAAGCAGTAAGATGCAGACTGGAGGGAAGAAGGAAACTCTGGAGTTGAGGGTGCTGAGAATGAGAGCCAAGAGAGGTGTAACCCACCACAGAGGAATAAGCAGCAATACTATCAAGGTGGTGGGGGTGAGGACAGACATGGGGAGGGTTGTGGCATGCTCTTCCTGGGAAACTCACTTCAGATCTAAGAGCTTTCCTCATATCTCTCAGGAAGAAATTCTAAAGCTTGAAGTTTGTCAGCAAAACAGAAGGCAAGTATCACTCCTGAAGGGGAAATAAAGTTCCAACATGCTTAAAAGCCTAAGAAAAAAGAGTAGTACATGGACGAGCCGAATAAAAGCCAGGAGGGTACATGCTGTTCTGATGAAGTGCTAGGGAACAAGAGAGACTTACCCATTGAAAAAGATTTGGGCCAGTTTGAAGAGCTCACGGCCCATTTCAATACTGGATGTACCATGGCGAACCTCAACCACTCGCAGACTCTTCTGTAGGTGGGTAGCTGACTTCTGCCAGTCCCCTGCAAGGAAAGAAAAATCTTGCTCAATAAAAACAAACATACTCTATGTGGCTGAACATTTTCAGGGCAAGGGAAATTGAATGAAAGGGAGAACAGTTTCAGTTTAAAGACAAAGATAACCAATCAGTCAAGGCCAGGGTTATAGAAAAACAAAGGGAAGCAGACTTGTTCCTCCTAGTGGAAGATGAAGGCATATGCATACCTAAGGCAGCATAGGCCTGGGCCAGGACATCCTGGACTTCTCCTACCACAGTGTGTTCTGCTGACAGGAAGCTCTCCGCATCATGCTGGCATCCCAACAACCGCTGAATGGCTTGTTCTAGCAGGTGAAAGGAAAGTGGTCTCATTACAGACACCAATATGGTCCTATAATGAGCACCGACATCTCAAATTCTACATCAGTTCGGCTGACTCTGGAAACCACCCTTGACCTCCTTGGATTGTCATTAATCCACAATGGTACATTTCCTGGTTCCAATAAAGCTGTTGTTCTCTTATGTCTTCTCTGTGTTCTTTTTCAACAGAAAAATGTGCTGACTATGACTTTGGGTTTGAATCTTCAATTTTCCAATGCGGCTAGCTTTACATTCCACATACGTTCATAATGTCTCTAGATTCTATAGTCTAAACTGAAAGGTCAACTTTCATCAAGTAAATAAATTCCCATGAATCAAGGTCAAAGGCAGAGTTTTCAAAGGTAGTGGGGAGTTCCATGACTTGCTCTCAAAAACAGGCAGGATACTCAAATCCACTGGGCACTCGGCCCAATGCTCCCTGGACTGGTGCTGATGAGGGAAGCTCAGTTTCTCTAGGAAATGAAGAGAACTGACACTGACCTTGCGGAACTGCACTAAGCACATGATAGCAGAGATAAACCTGATAGTGGTGGTATACAGACTTTAACTTAGCTATCTGACGCATAAGAGGACAGCAATGAACTCACCTGGCCACACTAACTGAGCTGGTCACATCTCTGTGGGCTACATAGCCATCTTGTGGCTGACATGGGGATAATGAAATTCAATTCTTCAATCATTACTGAGTAACCTTGAGTCCAAGGTGATCTCAGAATGAATACAGGGGAAGGGGAGAGAAGACCAAAGCAGGGAGCCAGTCTCACCTAATTCACCATTTCTGAGAAGCTTTTGGGCCATCCCAACCTGCTGCTGAAGGTCCTGTAGCCGAGAGGCTAAGTGTTCCCTGCTGACCAATTCCGTACAAGATCTGGTGCCACAGCTCAGCACATCATCTCCCTGTGGAAGTCAGTGTCATCTTTATTCCTATTTCCAAGTCAGTTAACAACAGTGCCTGTGCTTACATTTAAGACTGCACCTCAGTTTCTGACCCTATGGGGGTAACAGACACCTGTAATACTTCATAACCAAACGAAATTTTGTTTGACAGCAACAATCCTAATGAAAGTAGCAGTGGATCCTACCCTGAGACTGAATTTTTGGGACCAAATTAGTAGAGTCCACATTTTCTATCCATCTCTATGATCCCTCTCTTATCTCTCTTTGGGGCCAGGACTTTGAATGATATATTTTAGCGGTTACGAAGAATTCCTAAGAAAACCAACAGAAAAACATACTAAATTAGGCCTTCCCACATTAGACCTTGGGTTTGCAGTTTCAGCTTTCTAATACAACCAACTCTAGTAATTTTTACCTAGGGTTCCCCTAACAAGAATAGTTTATTTCCTGGTAAAGCAGACAGTCTCTGAGGTGGACTTTGCTGATTTTAGATTCTAGTATCTAAGCCCACATTTGGCAATAGCAGTTGATTTCTCTTGAGCGCCCTCTCCCCTCCCATAGCCAGTGTCCTGTGGCTGGGGAGGGTGGACATGTGTCTGAGATCAAGGCCATACCTTTGCCCCAAATGGCTGGGAGAAAACTATGTGACTGTGATTTTCCTCTAGCCAGCGTTACTGGGTCTGTGAGTAACGTTTTTGCCCAGACTGATGAGAGAGGGGCACATTTTGATCCTCCTGGACAGGAAGTATAAGAGGCTGAGCTTCTCGCAGCCATCTTGTCACAAGAGGGACGTCTGTCTGAAGACAGGCCTGAGCTGAGTGAGCAATCTAGAGAGAACAATTGGGTCCTGGTGAGGCTATGAGACTCTGGATCAGATGGTACCTGGAGTAATCCTATCCTGGGATTGTTTAGTGACTTACGTGAGCAAATAATTCCCAGTCTCCTCCCAATTTAGGTGAGATTTATCTGTCACTTGCAAGTGAAAGATGACTAAATACAACTTTTCTATGCTTTCCTTTGGAGGGATAATTGTGTGTGGGGAAGACATGCTGAAAAGGTGGGAATAGGTGTTCTCAGCATCTACAAGCCCCAGGAGATTCCTTCTGGAGGTTTATAAACCCATGGCCTAGCTGACTGACCTTCAGGAAATGTAGAGAAGAGAAGGGAGCAGAGCGATTTACCTGCAAGACAGCTCTGCAACTGTTACAACAGAATGCTTCCCACCTGGGCCGGGCAGCAGGTCTACACTCCTCACTTTGACAAGCCGGGCAGTTACACTCAAAGAAATACTGAGACCTCAGCTTCTGTTGCCTTTCAGTGACATCCATCCGGCTCTTGTGAGGCCCTGCAGCGAGACCTCAGTCAATATGTCAAGCAACACTTAAAATCAACAACAAAAAAAGAGCTAAGCAGGTCTGGTCAGTCATTCATCTTGTGATAAGTACCCTTTATCCAAACATTTGAGGAAACCGAACCAGGTGCTGTACAGTCAACTCTGACTCATGGAGACCTCACGTGTGTGCCAGAGTACAGCTGTGCTCTCTACAGGGTTTTCAGTAGCTGATTCGTCAGAAGACCATCAGGCCTTTCGATTGAGGCATCTCTGGGTGGACTTGAACCTCCCACAGTTTGGTTAGTAGTCAAGAGTGTTAATCATTTATACTGCTCAGGGGTTCCTTTGTGGAACTAGATAGAGAAATAAGCTTCCTAGTTGTTGGGACAGGAAAAAACAAATTCAAGAAGTTGACCCTAGCCCATTTCCAGAATAGGACGTTGAATAGGAACTAAGCAACAAAATTCATGGCTGTTGTTAAGTGCCTTCAAGTCGGTTCCGACTCATAGTGATCCTGTATAAGGTTTCCAAGACTGTACAGCTTTGTAGGAACAAAACCCCTCATCTTTCTCCCATAGCGGCTGGTGAACTTGAACCGCCAACCTTGTGTTTCTCAAGTCAGTGCTTATCCTACAGAAGCAATGCGCTCCCCAAATACATGATCTTTAGGCACAAAGTCGGCACCAAGTACCTTAGTTAAGAAGGGTTCTCTTTCTTTATTTTGCTTGAGTATGAACTGCTTCTCCCAGGAAACATACACTGGGGACATACATAGTAACTTATTATTTTCGACCCTGTCCTTTTTCTCTTGTGAAAGGGAAGGACAACAGGATCGAAGGCTGGCTTACCATTGTTGTTGCTGTTAAGTGCAATCAAGTCGGTTTCGACCCATAGCGACCCTGTATAGGGTTTCCAAGGAGCAGCTGCTGAGCTTGAACCACTGACCTTGCAGTTGAAATGGCGGCTTTGCAGTCTGGCACATTAACCCACAGCTCCACACCAGGCTTACCATAGCAGTGGAGAATCTCTTGCCCTTTTCCAATCTGCTGTGACGCCCGAATGGAGGCAACATTGTTAATGAAGGACACACTGGTGTTGGGGCTGCAGGAATGGTTCAAGAGGCTGATAACAGGGAAGATGCCTGTGGCAATGCGTACCTGTCTGCTGTTGGTAATGATGCTCTCTTTAGATCCTGAAAGTGCAAGAGGAAAGGGAAAATGTGTCAGGGCATTAGTCCTGGCCCTGCCGGCCAGTTCTCAGAAGATGAGTTGGGAAACTGGGCCTGAAGCCCATCTGAGTCATTGCTCCTCCACAGCCGGATCCAATATAAATCAGATGGAACATGACTCACAGCAATCTCTGATCCTCAGGAAGCACAGTGAATGAACACATGAAAAGTCCACCCAGATCCTGGAACCTAACCCATGTGTCTCAACACCACACACAGAAATGCAAAGATTAGAATTTATACAAAATAATAAAAAAGGAATTAACAGTAAGGAGTATTACAGCCAGCCAGTTTCGTAACTTTCATAAGGACATAGACACCAAAGTACCTGTTGAGATTATTTCCATAAACTTTCATTGTCCAAGTACTTATGTTTAACTGGTCTTTTGAGAAAAATCAGTATTCTTTATGCTTATCTGGTCTTTCTGTCCTTCCCACCTTTTTGGGACATCAGTACATGAAAAGAGCTCACTGTACCAGATCTATTCAAGACAGTCTCAGGTTCCAAATGACCCTTATTTAAAAAAAAAAAAAAAAAAGAACACAATTAACCACTCCTGGTGTGGGTGCTGGACTACAAGGTCGCTTTGAACCACAACGTTGGTGGTTCAAGCTCACTAATCAGTCCTCAGAAACTCTATACAGGGTCACTATGAATTGTAACTGACTCCACAGCACTTAACAACAACAACCAGAAACTTATCTAAAGATGGGAAAGGAAGAAGGGAGGAAACTACCTCTAAACAGTGAGGTTGTTTCTGTACCAAAGCTCATGTGTGTTTCCATGCAGGTGGGTTCTCTGTACTCATGGAGGCAGGCCTAATTGCTTTTACTTTAGACACAGTTCTAACCAGCTTGGTGATTTCGTTTCTTAGGCCACAACAGTCCAGGAGCAGAGAATTACTGAGGAGAGGAGAACATGTAAAAGGCAGGTTTTCTGGTACTGGCAAGAGGGAAGAAAAAAATACAAGTGTCTGAGAACACGCAAAAACACTAGTACCTCTCAAGTTCCACCTCAATTTGACCATTTTGCTTAAGCAGAAGCTTTTGTAATGACCACACGTTTCCCAGGACTATGTATACTCTAGATACCCCTGGCATCCAGGAAGGTTTCCATTGTGTTCTGGAGTCTTGGTTTAAGGAAATGTGTTTCCAACAAGACTGGCTGAAATACACAAGATATTGGTACATAAAGAGAAGCCGTCGGTTGTTAGGAAAATTCATTTCTATAGAACTAATGTCTTGTAGCAGGTAACTGCCAGGACTCGCAATACACCGCTCACCAGAGAAATAAGTAGTCCTGGAACAGATATAGTGAATAAAGAAAAGAGCATGAGTCATCATGGGAAAGTGTTCTAAAAAGGAAAATAATAAAGACAGGAATAATGTCTTTCTGCAGACAATTCTATTATCAGTTGATACAGAGGACAAGAATAGAACAAGTAAATAAAATTTACAAAGAATCCAAATGACTCAACTGTAGTCAACAAACGTACAAATTATATGAAAATCTTTCACCAGAGTTTCTCCTACATGCTGAACTGATTTTAGATTCCCCTCTTCTTCCCCTCCTTTAGTCTAATGCCTACCTTCTGGAATATGTGCTAATGAGCCATGAAAATGCTAACTGGTAGGCAGCAGGAAGAGGCAGTACAGGGCACGAACAATCTGTAGTCTGAATAATCAGTCTCTGCATAATTAAAAGTTGACTTGCATTCTCAACTACTGATAACTGGCAATCTATATTAGAACAGTTGCGAAAATTTTCCCAGAAAAAAATTATCACAAAACAGTGACTAATGTCAGCTTTGTGAATTATTTATAGTTTATCCCTTAAAAGAAGTAAGCCTGGGAACTGAGAGGGATGAATATATTAGAACTGAGTATCTCTCTATTTTTTTAAAACGAAGTACCGATTTTTAAGTTAATATTTGACCATTCATCATCTATTAATAGAGATAATCAAAAGTGTGTATTAGCATCCAAATTGAAAATGTGATATTTTATATTTAAAAAAAATTAGCGCGGTGTACTTTTGCTTATTTCATCAATATTCCTTTTGCAATTTAAGTGGGACTCACAGATTAAAAAAAGGATTCATTCACAATCTAGTATATACTCTGTTGTTAAGTGCCATCAAGTCGGTTCCGACTCATAGCAATCCTGTACAGGGTTTCCAAGGAGCGACTGGTGGGTTTGAACCAACAATCTTGTGGTTAGCAGTCCAGCGCTTATCCTACAGTACCACAGCAGGACTTCGTACATACTCTACTGGATGAGAAATTTGTGTGTATGTAAGTAATTAATCTACCAAAGGTAGATTCCTTGGTTGGCTGTTGAGGAATAAACGCAAGCGGCAGTGAGCTGACCTGAAGTAACATTTGCTGTTGTTAAGTGACACGGAGTTGGGCTCTGACCCATAGCGACCTTGTTTAGGGTTCCCAAGGAGCAGCTGGTAAGCTTGAACTGCTGACCTTGCGATTCAAACCGACTTTATAGTCCAGTGCATTAACCCATAGCACCATACCAGGACTCTGATATTAGATAGAACCTGTGTTAGCTGTGTGGACAAGAATCCAGATATATCACGAAGATGGCATTACCACTAAGAGAAAAATCACACATATCAAGGTCTAGAAAGTCATCAGCGGCTAGTTCTACCCTTGAGATAAATACTAGAGAAGTTTCTGAAGAACTCTGATTTAAACAGGATTTATACAAAGATAATATCATACATTTTTATAGGTTTTTGTTAAAGTCTATCTTCTTTAACACTTTAATCCTTCTTCTGAGCTATTAATGAAACAGCTGCTAATGAAATTCAATGAGAACACTAAATTGGGAGGTGCTGGGACCCCAAAGAAATAATAAAAAGGGATATAACAAGATTAGAAACATGAACAGACTAAAGCAAAATTAGATTCAATTCAAGAATGAAAGTGAACATTGCCGGTGGGTGTGTAGCCGGTTCAGCTTTCCTGGAGGGTAATTTTACATCAAGTACCTTAAAAATGTTCACAGCATTTGGATTATTTTTATTAAGAAAAACTAATTAAAAGGAATACAGGATAGGAAAAATGTAAAACTGAAGATTACAAAGAAAACAGCAGTAATTTACACTCCATTCAGCCTGGTAGAAAATTTTGGTATATTTTCTTGCAGACTTCCATCTATGCTTATATATGGAATTTTCAACCTAACTGGCAACATAACACACTTTATTCTTTTCACTTACTATATCATGAACATTGCTGTAAAATGCATTTTTAATGACTGCATTCCACTACAGGGAGATTCTATATCTAATTCCTTACTGTTGGATATTCAAGTTGTTTCCAATTTTTCACTACGATGATACTGAGGAGCATCTTGATACATCACTATACAAATTCCTAATTATTCCTTTAGGATATATTCCTGGAAGTGGAAAAACAGAGTTAAGAGAATCCCTAGAAAGGGAATTAGAAGGCTAAAAGAAAAGAGTATATTTGAAAGCTCTTTGGTATATTATTCGGCTTCCAGAAAGATTGTGTATGAAAATGCACGTATGAAAAAGTGGATATTTATATCCTAGCTTGTAACATGTCTTATAAACACACACAGACCTTTGCCAATCTGCTAGGTAACAAATGGTGTTCATGTTTTAATTACTGTTAAGTGCTGTGGCATCGGTTCCGATTTATAGCAACTCTGTCTAGTGTTTCTGGAGAGTGGCTGGTGAGTTTGAACCACTGACCTGTAGTTCAAACCAACCTTGCAGTCTAGTGCTTATCCTACTGCACCACACCAGGACACCGTTTTAACTACTAAGGAGAGATTTATTTTATTGGGTATTTTTACTATTACTTTGATAAAATTCTTATTATGTTTTAGCAGCTTTACTGAGGTATAGTTACATACACGAAAATGTACCCATTTTACATGTACAATGCAATGATTTTTAGTAAATGTTCACAGCTGTATGAACACCCTAGCTTTAGAATATTTGTAACTATTTTTAAAAGCTGATTTTAAGAGTTGTAAAAAATTTCCCTCATTTGAATTTTGGTTACAAGTTTTTTTTTATTTGAGGAGAGTTAAAATAACTTTTATTTGCTCACAATTATGTGGATCGATCATTCTGGCTGGGCTCAGTTGACTGATTTTTCTGCTGGGATCACTCATGTGGCTACATTGTTAATGAGGAAACACTTGTACTGTTTAAAGTAAAAGTAAAGAGGTTTAATAAAGCTTGATTCGATTTAAACGGCGTAGTTGCGTAGAACACAAGAACTGACATGAAGCAGTCTTGAGGCAGAGCAGCTAGACACATTTTATAGAGCTATGAGTCAGAATCAACTGACAGCACATACCACCACTACCTCCCCCAAATCAGGAACTCTAGTTTACGATATTTTAATTGGAGAAGTGATACATTTCAAGTGGGCATTTTGCTAGGACTGACTTACAGTTGCAGCGATCATAAGAATATGTGGTCTTTGGGATGGGGTGGGGCAGACTGGGTATTCATCAGGATGTCATAAGACATGTCATAAGACAGACTTTAGACACACACATTCTGGCATCTGCATGTGCAAGGCATTTCTAAGGGTCCTGAGTCAAGCCACTCCTCAAGAGTACATTCTTTCCACATCTGTGCTTGACCATAAAGAAAAACATTTCTTTAGCTGTACGATTAGGTTTGTTTAAAGCTCAGTAAGCATTAGGGAAGTAGCTTAAAGAACTTAAATTGGAATCTGGACTAATGTCAGGATTAAAGACGGAGTTAGGGCTCCAGTTGTAGACCACAGCCTTCCACAAAACAAGAGCCTCAAAATTGAGGCCTCAGACAGCATTTGTCTGGCACTTCAACCAGGGCTTGATGGTCAAGATGGCTGGTGACTGGTGCTGGCTTCAGACTTAGCCTCTCCCTCTATATGGTCTATGGTTCTCAAGGACACCAGCATAGATATGTACACAGAGGC